GTGGGATCTGAACCCTCGGCGGGAGCGCCACTGCACTCCCAAGTGGGGCACTGTAGCAGTGCGCCACCAGGCCGGCCCATGTTTTAATATTATTAAGTATTTAATGTATTAATGAGCAAATTCAAGCCAGAGGGAGGAGCGGTGGCAAACTAGTCCAAAGTAGTACAAAAGTCAAAATCAGTGGATTTGGGGCTGGCATGTTAGCTCAGCTGTTTAGAACACGGTGTTGATAACACCAAGGTCAAGGGTTCAGATCCCAGTATCAGCCAGCCACCAAAAAAAAAAAAAAAAAATCAGTGGATTTGATTTTAGAAACATAACATGGCTTTTAAGGGCACTTTATATGCCTGTTAGCCTGAACACTAATCTTTCCAATTTGCATAGTGCTTTCCCATTTTTAAAGCAATTCTATATGAGTGACCTGATTTAATATTCACAGCAACCCCACAAGGTAAGTAATTTTATTTTTATTTTTATTTATTTTTTATTTTTTTGTCCTTTTTTGAGACGGGCCGCACCGCGCTCAGCCAGTGAGCAATGTGAGCGCACCAGTCATCCCTATATAGGATCCGAACCCGCAGCGAGAGCGCTGCTGCGCTCCCAGTGCTGCACTCTCCCGAGCGCGCCGCGCTCAGCCAGTGAGCAATGTGAGCGCACCAGTCATCCCTATATAGGATCCGAACCCGCGGCGGGAGCCCTGCTGCGCTCCCAGTGCTGCACTCTCCCGAGCGCGCCACGGGCTCGGCCCTTATTTTTATTTTTAAATGGCTCAGAGGCTCAGAGAGGTAAAGCAACTTACCCAGGGCCATCCCGCTCATAGATTGGGGAGTTAGGCCTTGAAACCTTGACCTCAGATATTCTCTCATCCCATCAGCTGATGCCCACTCAAAGGATCCAAGCTGCTGGAGGAGGAGGAAGCGGGCAGAAAGGGTGCTGGGAGTTGGGCTCTGGCAAGCATCCCTTTCTCCCTATATCTATCTGTTTTTTCAACATTGCCGTATTCATTTCCCCTGGCCACTTGCAGAACTGAATCCAGGAGCACCTGCCCTGTTCAGTGAAGCCACTGCTCACCTCAAGAAGCTGGAACTGGAAACTGTGAAGGCTGCTGGACCCTGGCCTGCTCTGCACATCAACATCAACAAGGTGCCAAGGCCCAGGGCCCTGCAATGAGCGTGCATTTGGTGTTCACGTCAGACCTCTGATGATTACCCTGGTCTGCCTCCTGAACTGGTGCCTTTACCTTGGAGGGGTTTCTACTCCATGTTTCCTGACATTTCTGCTTAGGCCGTCTTTTAGGGCAAAAATTCACTTAGCTTCATTGTGGACGGATTACAGCACTAGGCATAGCTGTCAGTGTTTTGGCCGATGGGCTAGATCCATTTGTTAGTTGTCTCTTTCTCCTTCTAGGCTGAAAGCTCCACGAGGGAGCGTCCAATTTACCTGTTTCCATTTTTACTGCTCTGTCTCCCTCTGCCAGTGCCTGGCACACAGTAGATGTTCAGTAAACCATTTGCAGATGGACGGAAGGGAGGGATTGAAGTACGGAGGGAAGAAGGGTCAGGGCAGAAGCCAAGTTCCCTTTTTGGCTAAACCTCTTCTTATCCAAATGGGCAGCCTTATAAAAACCAAATTTTATCTTAGAACTGTAAATGCCGGTGCTGGATTTGATCTGTCCTTTAGTTAACCTTCTCAACTTCTGAAACCAGAGGAGGGGAAATGACTTTCCCAAGGTCCCACAGAGTCCTTGGGCCCACAGTTGCCAGTCCATTTCCCTTTGCACTCCAACATGCATCTTCATGTGCTTCACCAGGGTTTCTCAGCTTTGGCGCTAGTGCCGTTTTGGCCTGATGATTCTTTGTTCTGGGCGCTGTCCTGGGCATGTAGGATGTTTCACAGCATCCCTAGCCACAACCCACTAGATACCAGTAGCAACCCCCATCCAGTTGTGACAACCAAAAATGTCTCCAGACGTTGCCAAATGTCCCCTGAAGGGCAAAATTGCCCAGTTGAGAACCACTGTTGTACACATATTTTAATTTTAGAATTTTAGACTATCCTAAAGGAATAGTCTTCTTCGCTCCTGGTTCATTTCTTCCACTCTAATGCTTAGCTTTGTCCCTTTATGAGAGGGAACAGGAAGAATCTGGAAGAACTGGCCTGGGAAACTCCTTACTTGCACTGGTGAGCGTGGGAAAGTTGTACCTCCTGCTGGCTGTTCTTCCACCCTAGACTTCCAGGATTTCTCAGAAGACCCTCACTCCCCTGCTTTTCCCCTTCACCCACCCAGTCCCTGAGCGGGGCAGCCTAAAGTCCCTTTGGTCACTAATGGGCCCCAAATTCAGGTTTAACCTTCAAATCCCTGCTCACCTACTTTTTCTTCCATACCACCCTCCCTGATGGCCAGCTAAAAAGAATTCCTCCTGCAGGATGACACTTATTCACTCACTCAACAAATCTCTATCGAGTAGGCCTAGATTAGATGCTGGGGATTCAACCCAATACATCAAGTGCTCCTGGATTGGTCTTCTCGCTCTTAGTTTCCTGCTTTTCAACTTTTCTTCTGCAATACACATGGTGAATGGTTTTAATGGGAGCTTACCCAGAGTTTGACAAAATCCAAAAATATTGTGCAGCAGAGAACTCACAAGCTCTACAGTAATTTGTAGTTGCCGTGACTATTAGTGGGACATTTGTAGTTTGCTCTGGGTGATGGCATACCCGAGCACCTGTGAGTTACTGAGCATGTCCCTGGAGCTCAAGCTATAACGTCCCTCTTTTCTCCTCCACTCAAAGAAATGCATCAGTAAGCAAGTAAGCTGGAGTGATGTGATTATACAGATTACTTTAACTTTGTCCTAACACATAAACAAAGTGTATTACTTCACACTATGATTCTTTATTGTTGCTTTGCGTTGCTTCGGCCCCCATGGATTTGTCACCCCACTTCCCCTGGGCGACGGAGATGAAAGGATTACTCAAAGCCCATCTCTTCTGAGCAGTGAGAGGCCCCGAAGTGGTTAATCTCCTGGAACCCTCAAGAGAGAGTCATTCCTTCCTTGGAAAATTAACGCTGAATTGGGGTTCTCTTTCTGCATTTATTTTCCAGACCAGGAAGTTACAGGAAGAGAACAAAGGTGGGGTTATGGTTTAACAGTATAGGCTGGTAACTTTCAGTGAAACAAGCCAGAGGACATTCCAGTAAGGCTATTAAGTGGTCCTATCAACAACAGTTTGATCTTAGCAAACATTCCTTCCTATAGCAATTCTCAGTATCTTTACATAACAATCAGTAACTAGTCTGTCTCTGAGCCAGCAACTTGCCATGCCACAATTCTTATCTTGCAACAGAGACTTATACCCTGAGGGAAATTTCCAGTCGTCTGCAAGGTCAATATTTGAAACTGCAAGGCTTTGGAAAACCAGGCCCTGTGAAGTACATATGCTTTTTAGTATATTCCACAACACAGTAGTGAGATTGCTGGACCATATGGTAGTTCTATTTTTAATTTTTTGAGGAACTTTCAT